CTGTTACTGTATGGGGGCAGTAACCAAGCCATACCGACTAAGAACCGAGCATGTCTGGCTAAGGTCATCGCCGAAGGTCCTGCCTACTTTGAGCGGATTATTCCGGAGGGCTACCGCCCAGAGGACTCCTTCCCCATCCGCAGGTTTGGGTTTGGGGTCTTCAATAGTTAGGAACCCACAAAGGACATAAGCATAAGCATGTTACAGGGATATCCCTACCTTATTGGGCTTCATTATAAGGGGTTTATATGGGATATCCCTATCCTAATTTTTGCTTATGTGCCTTTTTGGGGCCCTAAATAGGTCTACGATGGTCTACGAGGTTTGGGGTCTGCGGTTGAAGGTGGCTGCTATCCTACACCCTCAGTTTAAGTCGGGCTTCATGGAAAATCGGCTTAATCGCAGTTAATCCGAGGACCCCCAAACACTTGCCCTAAACCCTAAACCCGAACACTTACCCTAAACCTGTTTATGGAACGTTGTAGACAAAATCTGAGCGCCAAGGTGCAGGCTCGAAAAGTCGTGGTTGCGTTACAATGCTTTAACGGCCTAGGGTTTAGGTTTTTGGCCGGTGTGTTTCCGGTGTCTTCGATGGTCCTGACTGCACCCTCGGCGCTGAACCCGGTAGGGAACAGCTGCTGATAGCTCTGCTTTTGGCTGACTTCAGTCCCCGGATTGTCAAGAGCCCTGATCGAGGAGAGTATTTTCCATCTTTCCATCTCGAAGCAGCCCCCCAGTAGCTTCAGAGAGTCTATTCGCGCGGCGTTGGTCTTGGGCTCTTTGGGTGGGGTTTAGGACCGCACCCGCAAAGCCTTGGCCCCAAACCCCGCATAGAGCCAGCCGGAAGGACCTGTGGAAGAAGATCCGACCTGGCCCCATGCAGCCCGGATTTGTTAAATTTTGAGTGTTCAGGGGTTATGGGGTTTATGGAGATTTTGATTCATGTGGCTGGCTAGGAGATAGCTGAGTTGAGAAACCCGAGGCGATAGCATAACGATTCGGAGCTACCGTCACACAGGAGTTTCTTCAATGCTAGGGCTTATTTCTGGCGAACGCTCGAAGCCCTCTACGCAAATACTGAGAGGAGGATGGGATGACTGAGTAAGCAGGTTACTCTGCCAGGCTCTAAACCCTAAGTCCTAAAATAGGAACCCCGCGGAGTGCACTGAGTAGGTCTGAACCACTTGGACAGCCGAACTATTTTGGGAGTTCCTTATTTTTAAGTATAGTATAATATACCCCGAAA